GCTCCTCCCTTGCTTGTCCTGTAATGTCAAAATACAGTTGGATAACACTGCAGCTCCCCCAGCTCTCCCTTTGCTTTGTGTTCCCATCCTTTAAAAATGTTGTACAATCTCTCTTCTCAGACATGGTTCAGATCCGGAACTGGGCACCTCCCTGAGTGCTCAGAAAGCAAAGCTTTTGTTTTTAAGCTTCTGTATCTGAAGTGAGTTTTCTCAGCTTTTACCCTGAACTCAACAATGTATCCCAAGCTGGCCTAACATTTGCTATGATCTTAAACTTCTGACCATCTATTCTTTCTGCCTCTACCTCCCTGTGCTCTGTGCACATGGGGGTGTGCATGTGTGTGTACCTGTGGGGATGGGGGGTGGGGGCGGCTAGAAGGGATTCCCTGGAGATAAAATTAACAGGTTGTTGTGAACATCTTGGTGTGGGTGCTGGGAACCAGACTCTAGTCCTCTGAAAGAACAACAGGCATTCTTACCTGTGGAGACATCTCTCCAGTCCCATCTCTTTGTTTTTAACAGACACATAACATTGCATGGCACAGACAGGCCATGATTTAATCAACTACAAACCCTTCAGAATGGTGCTTTTTGTTATTTCTGTTGGATGGATTCCCAAAAGTGGGATTTTCTTTCTTTTGTAGAGATGGCCACATTAATGTCTAAAGAGCACAGCATTCACATTCCAAGCAGCAAGGTTTGAGCACTCGTTTTCCTGCATCCCCACAAGCTCAGGCATTTTGTTCTTATATTTTCCCAATTTCTGCCTTAAAAATACTACACACTATTGCACCTTCAACTGCATTTCTTAAATTCCTTCTCAACTGCAATAATGATTTAATTCAGCTACTTGAGCTTTTTGTTTTTTGTGGGTCTATTTGACTTTTAAAAATCTCCACTATCAGACTGGAGAGATGGCTCATCGGTTAAGAGCACTGGCTGCTCTTCCAGAAGTCCTGAGTTCAATTCCCAGCAACCACATGGTGGCTCATAACCATCTATAATGGGATCTGATGCCCTCTTCTGGTGTGTCTGACAGCTGCAATGTACTCATACACATAAAAGAAATAAAACTTATATAAAAAAAAGTTTAAAAAAATCTCCATGGTCTTTTTAAAAAGTTATATCTTGTGCTCCTTATGCCTAAGTTTCTGTTTGTCTTTTGTTCTGTAGATGTGTGGATAGGATCCAGGCCTGGGCAAGCTAGGCTAGCCTCCACCACTTAGACTTGCCTGCAGCCCAGTTGGCTCATGTCTGGATGCCTTCTTTTATTTACTTAATGACATCAAGTAAGCTTACACTGTAGGCCCAACAATCTCAGCACCATGGGGCCTGCTCACGTTTCTGTTGACTTTCTTCCTGATACCTTGTTTCCTTCTGTGGTTTGAGGTTTTGAGCCGTGAGTGTGTTTGATGGACTGCTTGCTATCTGTGTACATTCTTTAAAATTTGGTTTGACTATACTTTCATTCAGGGAAGGTATTTTTTTTGTCCCTCCCTCCCTCCCTCCCTCCCTCCCTCCCTCCCTCCCTCCCTCCCTTCTTTCCTTCCTTGTGGAGTGTCTGTATGTGTGTGTTTTGCTGGGAGTCAAACCCAGACTTCATAAATGCTAAGTGAGTGTGCTACCACTGAGCTATGGCCCTGTTTTGGGTTCTATTTTTCTTTCCCAAGTGTGTGATTGGACTAACTAGTCAGTTTCATTTTGATTAAATTTCTGGTTGTCATCGCTACTAATGACCACACTGGGCCCTAGATCTATCAGGGTTCTCCCTTGTACCATAAATATTTTTTAAAGAAGTCTTTTCTTGCCGGGCAGTGGTGGTGCAAGCCTTTAATCCCAGCACTTGGGAGGCAGAGGCAGGCGGATTTCTGAGTTCGAGGCCAGCCTGGTCTACAGAGTGAGTTCCAGGACAGCCAGGGCGACACAAAGAAACCCTGTCTAAAGAAACCTAAAAGAAGAAGAAGAAGAAGAAGAAGTAGAAGAAGAAGAAGAAGTCTTTTATAACACAGAACTAAGGAATGAAACAGACAAGTTTCACAGCATCTGTTTTTGAGTGGCACCTGGTTTTCTTCCAATTTACTATTCTGTAGTCTCTGGTCTGACATCCTACCCTCAGAGAGCCCCAGGAGTTGTCTCCTTTTCTGAGAAATTACAGGTTACTTGAAGTTTATGACTGCCCAAAGAACCAATAGGGTCTGTGCTGGACATCTCAGAGCACGTCCTTAATCCAGCTAAATAAGCACTAACTAAAAGTGTTTTACAAAAGAAGCAAGTGGGAGGTACCGTTCTAGAGTTCCTCAGGGGCGGAGTGTCAGGAACCTTTCCGGCTGGGAAGTTATCTACACGTGGCAGGACTGTTAACTGCCCATAAGTTATACCATACTCAAGGCAGCGTTGTGTACTCAGCGAGAGCTGTCTTTTCCTGCCAGGATGAGCCTGCCGGCAAACCAGATCAAGGAGCCTGGCAAGCAGTCTCAGCCGGCAAAATCGCTTAAGGAGTCCAGCCAGGAGTCTCTGCCGGTAAACCTCAAGGAGCACAGCCAGGAGTCCCGGTTCCTGTGCCCTGACCCGGACATCGTAAGTGCACCCCTGCGCAGCGGCTGCTCTGGTTGTCCTGGACGCTCCACCTCTAACCCCGTGCGCTTTCCCAGCTGCATTCCATTTTCTGCCCCCTACCCTCTATTAGTCTCGCACCCCCGACCCCACCCCACTCCACGCTATCCCCCGGGGGTATTCTTTTGCGCTTGTTAGTAAACTCCTTCTTTGATACTTATGCACCCCCGCCTCCCACTCCACCTGACTTTGGGCAGTCTCTCATTTGCCTTTTTTCCCCACTGGCTTTCTGTCTTCACTTAGTCTGTTTTAGTTCCTGTGTGTGTGTTCCTCAGAAAACCTCTAGCTTGGTGTAGTCCCGGGGGTGGGGGAGTTGGCTTTTCAGTCAGCCCCGCTGCTCTGCCACCTGGTAGGAGTAGCCTATCCAGCCCGCCTGGACAGATGATCATCTCTGACTCCCACACTGGTCAGCTCCAGTACTCCCTGTCTGCTTACTTGCTCTCTCTCATGGCCCAGTAAGAGGACTTTGGGAGAAGGGAGAAAGATTAAAGGAAGGTGATGAGGCCAACATTGGAGATTTTCTCAAAGTTGTGCTAGACCCCAAGAAGGATGTGTGGGGAAGACTATACATGTCCATACAGGAAGGCACAAACTCGGTTTTAGTTCACAGAACACATACTCATAATATTTAAACACACCAGTCATGCCCAGGATGTGGCTCAGTAGTACAGACAGCTTGCTAGCACTTGGGAGGACCTGGACTCGATCCCTACCACTGCCAAAAGAACAGGAACAACAGATAACAATTCTTTAACTGAACTCCACTGCGCATACCCACAGTGCTGCTTGGTTTTCAAGAGACTGTCTTAAAACCAACATCAAATCTTTTGGGACATGCTCACTTTGTATTATAACGAACAAAATTTAAGCTGAGCTGCCTAAAAGAATAAATCAAAAAAACGCAATGAGCTGGGCAGTGGTGGCGCACACCTCTAATCTCAGCACTTGGGAGGCAGAGGCAGGTGGATTTCTGAGTTCGAGGCCAGCCTGGTCTACAGAGTAAGTTCCAGGACAGCCAGGGCTACACAGAGAAACCCTGTCTCGAAAAACCAAAACAAAACAACAAAACAAACAAACAAACAAAACGCAATGACTTCCCCAGAGTTTTAGTTGAAATAAAAGAAAGGACAACTTTGAGGGTGTGTTAAGTGGGTAGCACTGCCCCCCACACACACACTTAGTATAGAAGTTAGTCTCTAAGGTGCCTGCCTCACTTAGGGAAAATGGCTCTTTCCAGTAGGGTTATGAGTATGCCATTGTTGGCTGTTTCCAAAGCTACCTGCCTGTTGTCAAGGTATTTAACACTTAGGGTGTTCCATCTTCCCTGCTCAAGAAGTACTTGAATGAATTCCTGGGCAAAGGTCATCCATGGAGCCAGCACTGAGCTTGATGCCAAGGTAGGGCAAGATCTGTGTTTCTCAGAATACCAGGTTCTCCTGTGGATCAGGACCAAGGGTGAACTTCATTCAGTATAACGGGTATTCACTGAGCATCTCTGGTGTGCTGAGTCCTGCTACTCGTGTGGCTATGGACTAGTGTTCCCCTTTCAAACCTCACAGTCTAACGGAGGATGAACAAACAAGACTCCAAGGGATCAGCCACTGTCACAGTAGAGCGACACATCACTCTGGGGTCCTGACACCACCCTTCTGGAAGTACCCCTGAGGAGCTACCTTGAAAAACTGTAGACTTGCCAGGAGTGGTAACACACACCTTTAGTCCTAGCATGTGGGAAGCAGAGACGGGTGGATTTCTGAGTGTAAAGCTAGCCTGATCTACAGAGTAAGTTACAGGGCAGCCAAGACTACACAGAAACCGTGTCTCAAAAAACAAAAAGGAGAAAAGAAAAAAGAAAGAAAGAAAGGTAGAAAGATGGGAGATTCAGTGATGGGAAGTCCTGGAGGCCTGAGGCCCCAGCCTGCCTTGGCCGGAGGGAGGGTACAGTAGGTGATTTTGTTCTTTGTTTACTAAAGGCCATGCAGCAAGCCTGTTGCAAAGAGCCTTGGAGACCTCAAGACATGGTGAAGAGTCATTCAAATGTAGGGTGCAGAAGATGAGAGTTGGGTTTGCTTCAGAGAAAAAGAACTCTAGTTTCATCAGTGTGCAGAACGGATCCAGGAGCAGGTGGGAGAGAAGCGACCATGGAACTTACCAGACAGACTGCACTGCCAGGACTTGGTGGTGAGGAGGCTGAGAGGAAAGAACCACTTTATCCTGAGCTTCTGCCTCAGCTAGGATGGAAGCAATGAGAGAGGTTCGTGTTGAGGGCTAGAGAGAGATCTTGAGGGGCCTAGACATCATCTGAAAGACAGGTGTTGGGTGGAGCATGGTAGGATGTGTAGGGGTCATTCTGACTGAACTGGGTGAGAGGAGTCGGCTCCACCCCTGTATCTTCATAGCCATCATGGACTTGACACCCCGCAAGAGGCAAAGTTTCTTCCAGCCACTCGCCACAGGCTTTCCCACTGCTTCCCCACCCCACCCCCGTATGTGTTGGCAGAGACAGTGGCAATAAAGGTGAAGAGGGGCCACGAGGAAGAGAGAGCCTTCTTCAGAGAGTGGAAAAGAAGTTCATCTTGCTAGAGATACACTGGGCAGCGTTTATGGATGAGAACAGAGAGCCGAGTTTTGCACAAGAGCTGGGAACTTTGGGGAGAAAGAAATAAAAACAACAGAACTAAGAAGCATATGAGGGCTGAGGTCTTATTTGATAAACAGAAGAATGGGGCACAGAGTGTTAGAGTAGGGAACTATTTGTTTTGTTTGAAACATGGTCTTATTGTATAGTCCGGGCTGGCGTTTAGCTCATGTCTTCCCAAGTGTTGAATTATGTGCATGGCACCACAGCTGGCTCGGAAACTGGCTTCTGTAGATCAGCTTTAGAAAGGACTTTTGAAGTGGCTGATTCTGATTAGACTTTGTGAGCCGGGAGGGTTTAAGAATTCCCTACCTCCATTTTCCTTCCTCATTTCACAGACACCGAAGCTTAAGGAAGAGAAAGACAGTGAGCTTCCTCGGGCACAGAGCTAACTGTGGCTGTGTTGAGGGCGGGTTAGGGTGGGCTGGAAGGTCTGCTCTAGATGTGAGTAAGACTGACGGATGGCATTTGATCCTGGCTGCACTTCATTGCGTCCCAGCTCTCTCAGGCTTTTCTCATGGTTTCCTTCATCTGTCACATGAGGATGCTGAGAGGACTTAGGAGCTGAATCTCAGAGGAATACAAATGCCATCATATTGATTTATTTAAGAGTTAGTCTGTAGCTCCTTGCTTATCTGCTTCAGAGAAGTGACCTCAATATTAACTAAACAGCCTTGCCAAGGGACCTCGAGGCTTAGGGGAAGCAGAAGGACATAGGTTTTGAGCTTATTTTCCTCAGCTGTATAGTCTGGTTCCTTCTCCTCTGCCTTCTCCAGTCTAGATAGCTGAAATGGCCCCTGTAGGACTGTTGCCATGGCAAACCTGCTTTGCTGAGCAACTTAGTTGCCTTTGGCTCTCTTATTTATTTATTTATTTATTTATTTATTCAAGACAGGGTTTCTCGCTGGGCAGTGGTGGCGCATGCCTGTCTTGAAAAACCTTAATTTAAAAAAAAAAAAAAAGACAGGATTTCTCTGTATAGCCCTGGCTGTCCTGGAACTCACTCTGTCTGGCTCTCTTAATTCCAGTACTGTACTTATATATTAAGAGGTAGTGCCCAGACAGGTTGAGAATGAGGTCAGGCCTACGTCAGACTGAAGGACTGGCCCACCACCAGCTTCACACAGTTTGGATTTTCAGATCAGAAATACGGCCTTAACCTTTATCACTGCACAGAGTTGTTATGGGTTTCGTTGTTGTTGTTTTGTAGGAGCAGACAGCAGACCTCTACCAAGCTGTAATTGTGTGTCTCTGCTATTTGTGTCTGCAGGTTGTGGAGCTGAATGTTGGGGGGCAGGTCTACACCACCACCATGGGCACCCTGATGAAACATCCAGGCTCAAAGTTTCCAGAGATATTGTCCAGGTCAGCTAGATACTACAAAGATGCACAGGGCCGCTTCTTTATCGATCGTCCCGGCACCTACTTTGGGCTTCTCTTGGACTACCTACGCACTGGGGAAGTGCCCACAGAGTACGTTCCTGAGGTATACCAAGAAGCTAAGTTCTACCAAATCCACCTTTTGGTCACGATTTTGGAAGATATGCCACAGATCTTCGGTGAGCAAGTGGCTCGAATGCAGTTCCTGATGGGAGTGCCGAACTACAGAGAAAACCTGGAGGTCCTGTTGCACCTGGCTCGGGCCGAGGCCGTGGCGATGCGCTCGTCAAAGGTGGTGGTGTGTGTGGTGCGTACGGAGGAGGAGGATGCGAAGTGTACGGAGCCGCTGCACATCTTGGAGGCCAAAAAGACACCCGTTGTCAAATTCGGACCCTGGAAGGCAGGCCCTGTGACGGAGGACTTTGTGTACTGCCTAGAGAAGGACATTAGAGCCAAGGGGTATAAGGTGTCCTCTCAGAGGTACCACCTGAGTAGGGATCCCTACACATGCTTCTGGATATTCGTCTTCACTTGGTGGTGATCTCCGGGAGTGAGGACTGTTTGTTAGAGGCTGCGGTCGGATTTGTGAAATCAGTTGCCATCAAAATTCGTGTTCTAAAGCTGAGCCTTAAAGCAGTTATAGATCTTGGAAGGCTGAGATAAGAAGACTGCCGAGTTTCAGGCCAGTCTTGCATATAGACTGAAACCCTATTGAAACGGCCCAGGAGAAGCCAGGCTGCCCTGTCTCCACACCTGCTCCATTCTGGAACCACATCCTGCTTGACCAAGGAGGGTTTCTCCCATCTTCTAAGAAATAAAGCTTGTAAAATGTTTAACAGATCAAAGGGTTCTTCTTCCTTGCGGGGAAATAACCCTGATGTGAAAACTCTTCTAGCCTGGACCTACTGTCATGGTTTTTGTCTTTATAAACTCTGTAGTGCTTAGCTTGGAACCAAGAGTTCTTTGTGGCAGGAGTCTGACATCAGTCATCAGATGAAATAAAGAACTCTTAACTGGCCTGTGTCTGTGGTGGTCTGTAACTTTTTCCAGGGGACTGTCACAGTATCTTTAAAACAGTAGGCCTTGCTGGGAGGTGTTGGCGCATGTCTTAGCACTTGGGAGATAGAGGTAGGCAGATCTTTGAGTTCAAGGCCAACCTGATCTTCAGAGAGAGTTCCAGGACAGCCAGGGCAACACAGAGAAACCCTGTCTCGAAAAACCAAAAAAAAAAAAAAAAAAAAAAAATGCAAACAGACAGCAAAAAAGCCAGTGGGTGAACTCACCTGCTATGCAGACCCAATGTCTTAAGTTGGATCTCCAGAGTCCACAGTGAAAGGACGGAACCAACATCCTTATACCATGGCATCCACACACCTATACATGTTCTCTCTCTCTCTCTCTCTCTCTCTCTCTCTCTCTCTCTCTCCCTCCCTCTCTCCCTCCCTCCCTCCCCACATCTTAAAAGAAATGTGGGACTGAGAAGATGGCTCAGCAGGTAAGAGCTTTTGCAGAAGACACAAGTTGGTTCCCAGCAGCTTGGTGCTGTGGTTTACAACTTAAATGCTTATAACTTCAGCTCCAGGGGATCTCATTCTCTCTTCTGGCCTCCATGGGCAATATAGCCTCATGTCTTAGGGGTTCTATTGCTGCCATGAAACACCATAACCAAAAGACACCATAAGTTGTCCTTTGGTCTACACACACACACACACACACAAAGACAAATAAATAAATGAATATCAAAAAAATGTAAGCCATTTTCAACAAGTTGGGGAGGAAATTCTATTCAGTTTACACTTCCAGATCATAGTCTTTCATAAGAAAGTCAGGACAGGAACGCAAACAAGGCAGGTGTTGATGCCAAGGCCATGCTTGAACAACCTGCTTTCTTAAAGAACCAGGACCATAACCCCAAAGACAGCACCACTCATAATGAGCTGGACCCTCTCCCATCAATAAGTACTTAAGAAAATGCCCTACAGCTGGATCTTATGGGGGCATCTTCTCAATTGAGGTTCCCTCCTTTCCGATAATTCTAGTTTATGTGTCAAGTTGACATAAGGCCAGCCAGCACACTCTCACACAGTTGTACACAGGCAGATACACATGACTGTTAAAAAGTTAAAAGACGCCGGGCGGTGGTGGCGCACGCCTTTAATCCCAGCACTTGGGAGGCAGAGACAGGCGGATTTCTGAGTTCGAGGCCAGCCTGGTCTACAGAGTGAGTTCCAGGACAGCCAGGACTATGCAGAGAAACCCTGTCTCGAAAAACCAAAAAAAAAAAAGTTAAAAGACAATAGAAACTATCTGCTAGGATGGCGAGATGATGTCTTTCGAAAGAAAGAAAGAAAGAAAGAAAGAAAGAAAGAAAGAAAGAAAGGAATACAAAAAAATATTAAGCCATTTTCTAGCCAAGCATGATGGCAAATGCTTGTAATGCTGGAACTTGTGAAGTTGAGGCAGGAGGATCACATTCTTTTGGCTACAAATGAGATTCTCTATCAAAATTAGAAATCAGAAACAAGACAGTTGCCTAAGCAACCGGCAGGCAGGTCTGTGCCTGGAGCTGCTAAAGGGTTGGGCTGGATCACTTCAGAGGTTATAAGCTCTTGAGAGTTGTCAGCCTTTGGAGAAACTGTAAGATACATAAAAAGCAAACAAGTCCGGAGAAGTCTGGTTCCCGAGTTCAGATTACAAGCATGTGCTACTGCGCCTAGCTCACTTTACACCCTTCCCACACGCAAAAGGAATAAATGCTTTCTGGCATATTAGTTTCTTTCCTGTTGCTGTGCTAAAAGCATAACGACCAATGCAACTTATAGAGGAGGTTTTTTTGGCTTATGATTCCAAAGGGATAAAAGTCCATCAGAAAAGGCAGGTGAATCTCCAAGTTCAAGGCTGACCTGGTCTCCACGATTACACAAAGAGAAACTTTGAAAAGCCAAACAAACAAACAAACAAACAGTACAACTACAAACAAACAGAAGCAACATTTATGCTGGACAGTAGTGGTGCGTGCCTTTAAACCCAGCACTTGGGAGCTTGGAAGGCCGAGGCAGGTGGATCTTTGAGTTTGAGAGTAGCCTGGTCTACAGAGCGAGTTCTAGGACTGTTAGGGCTACACAGAGAAACCCTGTCTCAAAAAAACAAAACAAGCCAGGCAGTGGTGGCGCACGCCTTTAATCCTAGCACTTGGGAGGCAGAGGCAGGCGGATTTCTGAGTTCGAGAGTTCGAGGCTAGCCTGGTCTACAGAGTGAGTTCCAGGACAGCCAGAGCTACACAGAGAAACCCTATCTCGAAAAACCAAACCAAAAAAAAAAAAAAGAGATGCCAGTAGAAACATCGTACCTGAGGACTCGTACCTGGAGCTGCAGGTGAGCGTGAACTGAGAGTAATGCATGGCTTTAAAACCTTCCAGCAGCACCTCCTCCAGTGAGGCCACCCTTCCTACATCTGTCCATACTGTGTCACCCACTGGGCACCAGGTGTTCAAACATCTGAGCACACAGGAGACATTCTCACGCCAACCACCACAGCTGGAGACGAAGCTCAGAGGTGGAGCACTAGTCCAAAACGCATGTGGGGATAACATCCAGTATTAAAAAGTCTAAAATATTAAATCTAGTATAAAATCTATTTTGGCTATTATCGCATAGGTGGGTATTATGGACTAATTTTTAAATTCGATTTTTGAAATCAAATTAAAGTTTCACATATCAGACTTACTTATTTGGAAACTTAATCCTCGAATTGGCTACATGTTGGAATTAATAAAGCAGTTTAAAAAGTATGCCTGGGCCACACCCCTAGAGATTCTATAATTGTTGTGGCATGTGGTCTGAATAGTGGGGTTTTAAAAACAATCTCCTCTAGATAATAATTTTTATTTTTTTTTAATTTTTTTTTCATAGTGAACACTGTCAGAATTTTATTTTTTTTTCTTTTTTTTAATTGGATGATTTATTTACATTTCCTATGTTGTCCCCTTACCCCATCCCCCACCACCCCCTCGGAACCCCCAATCCCCTCGCCCCTCCTCCTCCTTCTCTGTGGATGTAACCTCTATCTACCCCCCCCACTCCCACCTCCCCACCCTCAAAATTCCCACCCCCTGGGGCATCCAGCCTTCATGAGGTCAAGGTTCTCTTCTTCCACCTATGCCCAGCAGGGCCCTCCACTTTTACATATTCAGCTGAAGCCCTGGATCCCCCCCTAAGTGCTCCCAGGCTGGTGGTTTAGACCCTGGGAGCTGTGGTTGGTTGGTATTGTTGCTCTCCTCATGGTGCCGCAAATCCTTTCAGCTCCTTAGGTCTTCACTCTAACTCCTCTATTGAGAACCCCATGATCAGTTCAATGGCTAGTTGTGAGCATCTGCCTCTGAATATGTCTGACTCTTGAAGGCCTCTGAGGAGATATCCATATCAGGCTCTTATCAGCATGCACTTCCTGTCTTCCACAACAGCATCTACCTTTGGTGATTGCACATGGGATAGATACTCAGGTGGAGTGGTCTTGAGACGGCCCCTCCTTCAGTTTCTGTCCCTCACTTTGTCTCCATATTTGCTCCCTTGAGTATTTTGTTGCTCCTTCTAAGAAGGACCGAATCACCCTCACTTGGTCTTCCTTCTTTATGGGCTTCATGTGGCCTGTGAGTTGCATCTTGGGCATTTCAAGGTTCTAGGCTAATATCCAATAATCAGTGAGTGAATACCATGTGTGTTCTTTTGTGATTGGCTTACCTCACTCAGGATGATAATTTCTAGTTCCATCCATTTACCTAGGAACCTCTCGAATTCATTGTTTTTAATAGCTGAGTAATACTCCATTGTGTAAATATACCACATTTTTTGAATCCATTCCTCAGTTGAAGGACATCTGGGTTCTTTCCAGCTCCTGGCTATTATAAATAAGGCTGCTATGAACATAGTTGAGCATATGTCCTTGTTATATGTTCGAGCATCTTCTGGGTATATGCCTAGGAGTGGTATAGCTGGATCCTCGGGTAATGCTATGTCCAATTTTCTGAGGAACCACCAGACTGATTTCCAAAGTGGTTGCACCATCTTGCAGTCCCACCAACAATGGAGGAGTGTTCCTCTTTCTCCACACCCTCGCCAGCATCTACTATCACCTGAGTTTTTAATCTTAGCCATTCTGACTGGTGTGAGATGGAATCTCAGGGCTGTTTTGATTTGCATTTCCCTGACAACTAAGGATGCTGAACATTTCTTTAGATGCTTCTCGGCCATTCGAGTTTCTTCCGTTGAAAATTCTTTGTTAAGCTCTATACCCCATTTTTTAATAGGGTAATTTGGTTGTCTGGAGTCTAATTTCTTGAGTTCTTTGTATATATTGGATATTAGCCCTCTATCAGATGAAGGATTGGTAAAGATCTTTTCCCAATTTGTTGGTTGTCGTTTTGTCCTATTGACAGTGTCCTTTGCCTTACAGAAACTTTGCAATTTTATGAAGTCCCATTTGTCAATTCTTGATCTTAGAGCATATGCCATTGGAGTTCTGTTCAGGAACTTTTCCCCTGTGCCCAAGTATTCGAGGCTTTTCCCCACCTTCTCTTCTATTAGTTTCAGTGTATCTGGTTTTATGTGGAGGTCCTTTATCCACGTAGACTTGAGCTTTGTACAAGGGGATAAGAATGGATCAATTTTCATTCTTCTACATGTTGTCCTCCAGTTGAACCAGCACCATTTGTTGAAAATGCTGTCCTTTTTCCACTGGACAGTTTTAGCTCCTTTGTCAAAGATCAAGTGACCATAGGAGTGTGGGTTCATTTCTGGGTCTTCAATTCTATTCCATTGATCTTCCTGCCTGTCTCTGTACCAATACCAGGTAGTTTTTATCACTATTGCTCTGTAGTACAGCTTGAGGTCAGGGATGGTGATT